CACAAACAATGAATCATGGAACACTACATCAAAAACTAATGATGTAATGTATGGTGATTAACATAACAATAATAATAAAAAGAAAACATATTAAGCAGAAATTTCAGAAATTAAAAAAAACTAATGATGTACTGTACGGTGACTAACATAACATAATAAAATTAAATTAAAAAAATAAAATTGATGATCAGTTAGGTTCAGTTTTTGGCTCTTTCAAATACTGCCGCTTTGAGGATCTAGTATATAAGTATATTTTAAAAAAAGCCTTTACTGCATTGTTTTCCATTGTATGGGTGCTCTTATTCAAAGAATTCCAGATTATTAGGTGTTTAATAAGTTCTTACTTTTTGCTCTCCAGCATTTCTGTAGTGAAAATAGTTTTATGCATATTTGGGTAAGGTAAGTTATGGAACTAAGGAAGAATAAAGATGGATCAAGAAACTTTCAGACTCCTATTTCTATACCATGCCTTTTAGTGCACCTAAGAGAATTTTTAGGAAGTTTTTCCTTACTCCCCATTGGTTAATTGCTGAAAAATTGTAGCTGGAGTCTTTACTATGAATTTTGAACTTAGGGTTTACAACCTTCTAGTGTCTAATTTGAGAAGAGTACCATGAGACCTTGAAGTCATTTAACTTCTTTATGACTTCAACACTTGTGAAATGGTGGATAAAGTAGTATCTACTTAGCAGTCTTGCAAATGGTATTAGGAATGTGAGACGTGTGATTAGTGCTGAATAGCTGATATCTGCTGTTGTTTTAATTCAAATTAGCTAAGAGAGCAAGGAAAGTAAACCTCAGTGAAATGATAGGAGAAGATTAATATGAAAGAATTGACCTAGCATCTCATTCAACTTATATCTTTTTGATTCTTTATCGTTTTGAAAACATTTCTAATATATATAATTACTTTTCTAAAAAAGATAGACTGAGAATAATTTGGGGGATTTCTGTAAAGTTCTTCTTGATGAGATATAGTTGTGTCCTATCTCCTGCTTTCCCTTCCCCTTTTAAAAAGACTGTATTCTACCTGACAATGTTTTCTTCGTCTCTGGGGAAGTTTCCTAAATGGTTTCTGATTGCATTTGCTCAAGAAATTCTCTAGATAATGACTCCGTGACACTAAGTGGCCTAAGAATTTGTTTCCAAGTAGAAATATAGAGGAAACAAACAACCAAAAAAAATCCTTCAGGGAAATGACTGTTCTTCAGAGTACATATTCTAGTTAAAGGCTGTAAACAGTTTTGTTCCCCAAGTTGTATATTATCAGATCATGCCCCTTAATGTTTCAATCAGTGAGGTACTATCAGCAGTGGTAGTAGTTACCTACTATGGTGTACCAAATTACCCCCAAATTTAGCAGTTTAGAACAAACATTATCTCCCAGTTTCTCTGGGTCAAGAATCCAGATGTAGCTGATCTGGGTCCTCAGCTCGGATTTTCTCTTCACAAGGCTGCAGTTGTGTATGTTGGGACTACATTCATCTTAAGGCTGCACTTGGGGAGAGTTGGCTCCCAAGCTCCCTCATGTGGGTTTAGGCTGGCTTCATGTCTCAGCTACCTGTTGCCGGCAGCATCAGTTCCTTGCCACAGGGACCTTTTCAGAGGGCAGTTCACACATGGCAGCTGAGGTCTCTCAGAGCGAGCAAGATGGAAGTCAGAGTCTTTTAGTAATTAATCTTAGGAGTCACATTCTTTTCATCAGCAGTGAGTCAGTGATCTAGCCCACACCCATTGTATTAATATACCATGGCTTGTTTATCCATTCTCAAATTGAGGGATTGCACAAGGGTGTGGGGATCAACAGGAGCCATTTTAGAGGCTAACTTTATAGCAGTCTTGCAAGTATTGACAGTTTTGATGTTTATTCAACATATAATACTTTTATACTTGCAATATATCTATTAAGCATGCAAGGTATGAAGTTTGAAGTCCCTTGTGGGCCTTTCCCTGATGCCATCTCTTCTCCAACCCCATTAGAAGTAACCACTATTTTAATTTAGTCTGTGTTAATCCCTTGTTTTTGCCTTATAGTTCTACCAGGCTGTATCTGTAGTTTTACATTTTTTGAACTTTATATGAAATTACTTGCTTGTTTTCAGGGGCACCTGGGTGGCTCAGTCGTTAAGCGTCTGCCTTTAGCTCAGGTCATGATCCCAGGGTCCTGGGATCGAGCCCTGCATTGGGCTCCCTGCTCGGCAGGAAGCCTGCTTCTCCCTCTCCTCCTGCTTGCGATCCCTCTCTCACTGTGTCTCTCTCTCTGTCAAATAAATAAATAAATAAATAAATAAATAAATAAGAAAGAAATTACTTGCTTGTTTTCATTCAGCCATATATTTTCTGAGATTCTTACATGTTCTTGCATAAAGTGTAGCTTATTTTTATTGTGTATGAATATAACATGTTAATCAGTCTGGACATTTAGATTTTTTGCTATTGTGCATTGAATATATTTTGTACACGTTTCCTATTGCATATATGCAAAATACATGCATAGAGTTGATGGACCACGAGTTATGTGCATCTTCAACATTCTAAATAATGATAATTTATTTTTCTAAGTGTTTCTACCACTTTAACTCCCATTGAAAGGATAGAAATCTTCCATTTGCTCTGTATCCTAAACTTGGTGTTTTTGTTTTTATTTTTGTTTTTACTGTTGTGTTCCAGTAGAACTTTATTTACAAAAGCAAGTGGTGGGCTAGATTTGGCCTGCAGGCTGTAGTTTTCTGGCACCTGGCCCAATCTATCATAGTTATATAGTAAATAAAAATAAAAACACTGTGTATACAATCAGTGACTAGAAGAAAATGTCCCAAAGGTTAAATTAGGTGGCATTTAGGTAGTTGAATTATGTGTAATTTTTATTTGTGTATATTTTTGTATTTTACAAAATTTCCCGAATGAGTATGTACTACCTCCAAAATGAAGGGGAGAAAAAGAGTATTTGAAGGTGTTCATGCATTATCTGAGCCCTTGGAATAGCAAGGAAACTCTAACTTGAGATTAAAATATTACTGTAAAATACTCCTGACAAGACTAATATTATTTGGATAATGTGGGACATCAAGACCGTAGCTGTCATTTTAGAAACCATAGTGTACTTTTTTTGGAGTGTGGTTGACACACAATGGTCCATTAATTTCAGGTGTTCTATGTGCCAAATTTTGATATTGCTGTGTATTTTTAGTTTTTGCCAGTCTGGCAAGTGTGAAATGATAGTTCCTTAATCTGCATTTCTCATATTTGAAAATAAAATTGCATGTTTCTAAAAAATTTATTAGCTTTTTCAACTTTCTGCTTGAATTACCTTTTTTAGTTGGGTTGTTTTGTGTTTTTCTTATTTAAGAAAATTTTTTTTGTGTACTCTGAGTAGTTCACACAGTGATTCGAAATTTTTTTTTTCCCCCCACTGAATTCTTAAGAGAGTAGGGACTTCTGAGCTTTGATTTAGCCATATTCATGAGCCCTAGGATGATGCCTGGAACATACTAATTAGATATTTGTTGACTTGAATACACTTTATCAGGGGAGATAATCATGTGAAGTTTTTTTGTTTTTTGTTTTTTTAAATTATTCTTTCAAGTAATGTATTACCTAGGTAGATTATTCTTTAGCCAACTTTGCATTCCTAGGATAAACCTTGACTGGTCATGATGGTGGCTTTTTTGGTTTTTAAATCTCTTGCTGGATTTGATTTGCTGTTATCTTATTTGGGATTCTTTTAAAAATCGACTTAGGTGAGACTGGTATGTAATTTTCCTTTATCTTAACTATTCTTGTCAGGTTTGTGTATGAAGACCCTGCTAGTTTCATAAAATGAACCGAGAAGTATTCGTCCTTCTCTTTCTTTCTTTCTTTCTTTCTTTCTCTTTTTCCTTTCTTTTTCTTTTTCTTTCTTTCTTTCTTTCTTTCTTTCTTTCTTTCTTTCTTTCTTTC